TAACCACTGTACCTAAGGGCATCACCGTCCCGGTTATTAGAAGGTATTCTCCCTTGTAATATTTCTCTTTCATTTTATACCAACTGTGTTAATAGCTATCATTTTTCTAACCCTGTACCTTCTATGCTATTTACATTACATATATTATCTCAGATAACCCTCACCTTGACGCTATAAGGAATGGACTCTCATTATGCCCATTTTACAGGTAAGAAAAGTGAGGCTCCAAAAGGGCAAATCATTTGCCCAAAGTCACACAAATGAGATGAGATTGGAATCCGGGTCTCTCTGACTCCAGGTCCAAGTTTTTAACAGCAAGGGAATATTGCAAGTTCCCTGCAGGCAGGAGCTGAGTCCTTCTGATTCTGCTTGGTCTGCTAGTGCCCGGCCCAGGATCGGAGCTCATTTCAAGCATGTGGAACTGCTCACTTCTCCCACCTTCCCGCCAATCCCCCACCTAATCACAGCAGACACTTCTGTAATGCTAACTGCTCACCGGGTACACTGGATATGTATTAGCCCGTTTTCATTTTTATCACTACCTATGAAGTAGGTACTCTTATTTTCATCCTTTGCATTTTGCAGACAAGAAAAGTGAGTCACGGCAAGGTGAACAGCTTGGGCAGAGGACCCACAGTAAAAAGTGGCGTGGGCAGGCTGGAGCATACCGACTGTGACCACTAGATGCTATTCTTCCTCCCACTCTCCAGCCATTGGGACCACCTTGATGTTTCTTGGAAAACATGCATTCTCCCACCCCCAGCCTTCACAGATGCTAATACCTCTTCCTATACACTCTCTCAGCCCACAGCCTGACTTCGTCTTCCCTTGGGCTCTGTCCTGTCCATCCACCAGGACTCTTGGTCAGGAGTTGCTGTTCTTGCCCTTCACCGCCCTAAACGTCCCAGAACTCACCAAATAAACCGGGTAGTCAACTGCTGGTTCCCCCGTCTACCTCCCACATGGGGCAGGGCCCACGTTGCCGAGTCCTGGCCACATCCACAATGCTTGGAACTTGGCAGGAGCGCTATCATTATTATGAAATGAGTAGATAAATACATAACTTAATGAGTGAATGCTGAATAATTCCTTTCTATACCCCATTGTGCTTGGCACATAGCAGGCCTCATTCAATGCTGCTGAATGAACAACCAAGTGTATAGTCTGATTCCAGAATTTATTTTTCCCTTTGGCCTCCCCGCCCTCTTTCTCCTTGTTTGTTTAAAAATCCCAAAGAAAGATGACAGTCCTACAGAGATCAAGGATGAGGCAGTTGGTTAACAGGAAGGATAAAGAGAAGTAAGAATCCGGAATTTTTCCTCCAGCTTCAATGTGGGGGAAAAATATATATCCCAACGTGTGTTCTAGACTCTAGAGCCCTGCTCTTGCTGTCTGCCTGTCCCTGCCCAAAGCAGCAGACCCAGGGGCTCTGCCTGGAGTGCCTGAGGCCCTGCCCGGAGTGCCTGAGGCCCTGCAAGGAGTGAGGAAGCTGGCTGAGCTGTGATTGTTCCTGAGCTGTGGGGACAGTGGCTGTTCTGGGCACTTCAGGAAGTACTTGCTCTAAGAGGCCCTTCCAGCTATTGTTGTTCAGCCAAGCCTGCTGGGCTGGCACTGGGACAGGGTGCCCCTCCAGGCCAAAGGTCTGCCTGGGGCACTGGGGGCAGGAAGGTGAAAGGCAGGGATTAGTACTTGAGCCAGGAAGGGGTCTTGGGCTCAAGCTTCTCTATTTTCGGGCCGTTAAATCCAGGATCTGGGTGCCTCGACATGTCTTTGTGTCTCCTCTGGCCCTGCATGCTCTGATTAGATAAGCCAGATGCTGCGGGTGATAGGGTGGCCGGGCCAGCGAGAACTAGCTGGGGCCGGGGAAGAAGCATGGACTTGGGAGTAGGGGCTCCAGGCCTGAACGCTGGCTCCGCCCCTCCCTGCACCCTGGGACACTTCTGCATCTCCTCTTCCTCTTCCATAGAAGAGAAAGAATCACCAGCTTGAGAGGTCATGAGGATGAGCTGAGTACGATTGATGACCTTGTCAGGTACACAATAGCAGTGGGAAAAGGCTGGTTTCCTTCCTTCTCCTAAGCAGCAGGACAAGGGCGGGCCATGTGGGGATGCGTTGGGCAGCAGATGTCACGTTTCACTACATTCCTCCCCGTCACAGGCTGCTGGCCTGGGCGCTGAGCCCGCTCCTGCCTGAATTCTCCCAACAGCTGCCCTACTTCTTTGCTTGGCCTTGCCCAAGGCTCCTGTTGGAACCAAAAGCCTCTGCTCTGCTCCAGTTGCAAAAAAAAACACAAAACAAAACAAAACAAAACAAAACAAAACAAAACAGGAATGACGTAATATGTGGCTCTCATGGCCACCAGCCACAGAGAAAGTCCAGGCTTCCAGATCTCTACCCCAAATTCATGCCAGGGTTGCAAATCAATGCTCTCTTGTTCCCGTGACTCCTGGGTAACTCCCATGCCACCACTCCACCCAGCAGCAGCTCTGCCACCCCCTTATCTCATGACAAAGGCCACCAACCCAGCCACTGAGGCACAAAATTGGCTGGGAGGGGGGGAGGCAGGGAAAGGGTTTGCAAGTACCTAATCCCTGCAACCTGACCCTTAATTATAATAGCAGCGACACTGATTGAAGACTATGCACCCAGCATTGTTCTAAGCTCTATATTAACTCATTTCATCTTCACCAACAGATTTTGAGGTAGGTACAGTTTATATCTCCATTTTACAAAAGAGGAAACTGAGTCTCAGGGGGAGTGATGTCAGCACTATGGCAGCGCGAGACATTCCTCCATTCTCTCCCCCTTTTTCACAGCAAGTTAAACATCCGTTTGCAAACAAAGATGTCTCAGAGTGAGTTGTGGGAACCAGCACCATACACCAAGGGACCGAGGAGGACTCTCACCCACCCATGCATCCGAAAATAGGCAGACAGACCTTTTGGGAAGGGCTGTGGAAACCGTCTCAGAGGGTTCAGTGGCTGGCCCGCGGCCACAAAATTGACGTGTTGCAGGTAAGATTTAAACCCATTTCTGCAGCTGCCAAGTCTAGTGTCTTTTTCCCACCAGGCCACTGATTCCCAAACCAAACCAAACGAAACTGGCAGCCTGGACCCTTTCAGTGCAACACCGCAGAACAGAATTTCTCCCAAGCAAACCTAACTTGTCAAACCCCAAACTAAGTTTGATGAGCAAAGCAGGGGCCTGGGTGTTCCTCAGAGGGAGAGAAGGCAGTGATGCAGTGGGGGGAGTGGGATCCTGGACCTGCCACTGTCCCCCTCTGATCTTCAGGACCCTCACCCATCCGAGGAGTGGATGAAATTAATTTGGCTTCAGACAAGCTCCCTCCCAACGCTGGCATTCCAGGATCCCATCTCTGTGGTGCCAAGCTGAGTATTTTATACAATCGGCAAACAATCAATCGCAGTTATTTGCCGGGCTCTGCTGTCAGTACCTTCCCTGGTCTTCGCTCATTCAATCCTCAGGACAGCCCCGAGACAAGCGCGATGATCTGCACCCCCTCCCAGGAAGCTGAGACTCAGAACAGTGATACAAACTCACCCTGACTCACCCAGCCCGGCGGTGATGTTGGTGAGATTTGAACTCAACCTGTCTGCCTCCAAAACCCATGTTTGTCATCACAGGACTACTTGAGAGCGCCTCCCCAACCTCAGCCAGGGACAGGTGCCAGGAACAGCGCTATTGTTTTTTGCTTATCCCACTGCCTGTCCATCTGCAGTTGCTATTTTCCCATTGCCATCATCAATCACGGCGTGACTGAAGCGGGTCAGGGAGAGGGTCCTGCAGCTGCCCGTGTGTGGCTATGGGAGTCCGCTGCCCACAGTCCTTCCCGTTGGCTCCGTGGGGACATCTGCGGAAAGCCCTTTCTTTGAAAATAAACTGATCCAGTTGGGGGAGGGGTCCCTCTTATTTATTTAGTCACAGCCTCAAGGCTAAACTGGTGGCCTGGCAGCTCCGAGTATTTTCCCTGAGCTGGAAAGCCAACTCCAAGCACGGGTGAACAGGTTGGGAAACAGGAGAACAGCACAGACGTCGGGGAAAATTCCACGTGCGGTTGCCTGCGGTGGAAGGGCTGTGTGGCCCAGCGTTCCTTCTCCCCAGTGAAACTTGCAGGCTGCCCCCTGCTCTCCCCACCAGACTGAGTGAGCAGAGAGACTCCAGGCCTGAGGGAGCCGGCTTCTCCAGGAAGAGGGAGGGAGGGTGCAGAGGCCCAGGGGCCGTTTGTCTCAGGGCACTGGGTCATTCAGAAGTCACTGACCTGCTCGCTGGGGGCAGATCTCTCTGGCTTGGGCACAAATCCCACTAATCCCCTGGGCTGGACTGCCCCAGCTGCCTGCGGACAGGAGCCAAGATGGGGTTCCTCCCAGTCAGAGGAAAGGTCTCTGGCATGACTTCATCAGGAGGGCGGCTGAAGTGCCGCTCTTGGAGGAGCCATCCAGAAGCCAGCAGACTTTGAACTGAAGAAACTTCCAGTAAGAACGCCTTCCTGCGAAGGGCGCCTGGGTGGCTCAGTCGGATAAACGCCCGACTCTCGACTTCGGTTCAGGTCATGATCTCAGGGTTGTGAGGTCGAGCCTGCATCAAGCCCCCACGCACGCGCCAGGGCTCCGCACTCAGCGGGGAGTCTGCTTGGGATACTCTCCCTCCCGCCTCGCTCGCATGTGCGCGCGCACACTCCCTCGCTCTCTTAAAAAAAAAAAAAAAAAAAAGAATGGCTTCCTGTGAGGTCACTCACTACCTCCAAGTTCACCACTGTGTTCTGCTCCCTGAAAACATTTTCTAACATTCATTTAGAGCTTTCTTTATTGTGTCACAGTTGAAATTGAAAACAAGCAAGCAGTCATCTCTGGAACAAAACCACTTTAGCAAACAGTGTGGACATGGCAAGAATTCCATTTCTTGCCCAGGGGAGGACAAGTCTTGACGCCAGACTGTGTGTTTTGGTCACCAAGGGCTTGCTCCGCTGCATGACAACATACCTGGACAGCACTCGGTCCGTGCCCGTTGGCCTTCAGTCACACTCGTGTAGTTTCGTTCCTGGGCCCCAGAGAAAGAGAACAGGCTTTGGAGTCACAAGGGTCTGATTTCAAATTCCAGCTCCACTATTTTACTTCTTCATGATCCTAAACAAGTCACCTAGGCTTCCTGGCCTTGGTTTTCCCATCTGTGAAGTGGGGCCAGTGCTATCTATCTTGAAAAATTGTCATTAGGCTGAAAAGAGACAATGTCTGTAGAAAGCATCTGGCACATGGTAGGGTGCTCTATAAATTTAATTCCTTCCCCCTTCCTTCTCACACCAGGCAAAGGAAATACGATTAATAAAATATTTAAAAAGAAAAAAAGGAAGGAAGGAAAGAAAGAGGAAGAAAAGCCTTGCAGCCCAAGCCCCACTCCCTTCAAGGTTGACTGTGATTCCACCTTCATTTCCTAATCTCACTGCCTGTGCCCTACACCCCCACACTCTGGTCCCTGTGCTAAGAAAATGTCTGAAAGTCTCCTCCTCCCCTATGTCTATCAGGACAGCTCGTAGGTGACACAAGAAGAAGGCTGGGGGTCTACACTGTCAAGTCCCTCCAAATGTTTTCAGCCACATGCACACGCCCTTGCTCCATCAGATGTCTCCATGACTGGGGCTCTGCAGTGATGCCCCCACCCCCGGATACGAGAGCAATATCTGCCAACATTCCTCCTGGAAGGACCATTTCACGTCCTCTCAGAGAGAATCCCACCTATTTCTTCCCAACCCCACCCCCATCTCGAGAAAAGCTTTATCACCACAAAGAACAGTGTTCTTTTAGCAAAACTGATGAAGATTCCAGGATCTAAGGTGAAGCAGCCTCGGTTTGAACCTTGGCTCTGTCCCTCACCTGTGTGACCTTGGCCAGGTTACTTAACCACACCAAACAGAGTCGCGCCATCTATGGGATGAGGACAGTACAGTGCATACCTCACTGGGCTACCATGACAACTCATTAAGATCATTTATTTAAAATATTTAGCACAGTACTTGGAACATAGTAAACGCACAGTACACAATTGTGTTTTTATGACCTCGCCATTAAAAATTTATAGACCACCTGCATTCCTAAAATTCCGATTTTGCAACTCTAACCAAAAAAAAGTTGGCGGGGGGAAAGACAGGATAATAATATTTAGAAAGGAAAATTTTCTAAGACTTTTTTAAAGAAAAGTGAAGCATGTAGATTGGTCAGGCTTTAGGCACTCTACATACATTCTCACTCAACTCTTGTGATACCTTTTGGAGTAAACTGGAGGGGTAAGTGGAGGAATAGTTCAGAACAGAGTCTGAACTCTGATTTGGCCACTTTGCTGTGTGACCTAAGGTAAGTGGCTTAACCTCTCTGGGCCAATTTCTCTATCCAGTAAAATGAGAATAATGATTACCTATAAGGTAGTCATGAGGACTGAATGAGTTAATGTATGCAAAGCAGTAAGAAGAGTGTAAAGCACATAGTAACCTTTTACTCATGACTGCTGTAACCTTTTAGAGAGCCTGAAAGAGAGGTTCAAGAAGGTTAATTAATTCACCCAAGCTCACATGCTGGTAAGTGCAGGAGCAGAATTCAAATCCGAGTCAAACTGATTCCAGGGCCAGTAGAATGCTTATCCCACTACTCTTCATCATATATATCTAGTAGGAAAATCATTAGGACTTTCTCTGGGCAAAAAAGATAAGGCCAAACAAAGGGGAGCCTGGGTGTTGGGTAGAGTGATGGTTCATTTCTAGAAGAAGTAACAAAGACAGAAAAAGGAAAGGTCTGGAGAGAAAGAGGGTCAATTATATTATGACATCAGAAGCTAACTCTGCAAATTAAAAAAAACAAACAAACGTGTTTTAGGCCATATTGCCGCCTGTGAGTACAGCCGGCATTCCAACCAGTTTAAAAAAGCCCTTGTGGGAGAGTTCCAGACACTGTTTAAATTCTGATGCAGGGAGGGGAGCCCTGGTGGCTGTGTGTTTCTGCAGAGCTGGTTTTCCAGTGCACAGACCCTTCTCTGGGTCCAGCCCTCAGGGGGACATCGTTCCAAAGCACTGAACCAAATATGTTATGCCTCTCTGCTAGGCCCAATGCCCACAGTTCTCAGAACACGAAATCCTGGTGCATGGGGCCCAGCTGGGAGGGCTGGGCAGGGTGGGGCATTCAGAGACTCCGGCGACTGTTGGCTGTAGGATTAGCAGTGATTAATTTTTCTTTTTAGCATTTGCTTGAGCATTGAGCATATATGGCTTTGGTGACTAGAAAAGAAATTGTTGAAACAAAACAGTTAAAAAACCACATGTGGTCATCTCTGGGTTGTGGGATTACTGGTGATTTGTATTTCTGCTTCTTTCCTTTGTGTTTTTTCTGTTTTACTTCATTTTCTGCTTTGAACATGTAATGCTTTAGGATTTAAAGGAAAAAAGAATAAACGTTATTAAAACTCAAATGAGAATGATTTCACGTGTTGGAGTGTGAGCTCCAACCACCTAGGCCTCCCTGGCTCCTGTCACAACATGTTGAAGGTGGAATTCCATAACGTCCTCCCTCAGCAAGGAGAAAAACCTGCCAAGAAATGGTGACTGCTCTCCCGGGGTCCGGGGCTCAGAGAGCTCACTCCACCAGCACTACCACACTGAGCTGTGAGCGCCTCTTTTTTTTCTTTTTTAATCTTGTTACTGTTCAATTGACTTGTCTGATTATTTTTTTACCACATGAAAAAAAAAGTGTGTTTCCACCTGATCAAAATTCATGTTTTGTCCATTAGCTCCATTCTTTAAACTCGGAAGGAAATGTTCAAGTTTCCTAGACCTTTGAGGGTTGTTGATTCAAATGCAAATACATGTGAGCTCCTCAGGGATATAATTTCTGTCAGGAAAGAATAGAATGGGCCAAAGTCAGTGCTCTGGCGGTTTTTTGTGTTTCTTCTCTGGAAAGAAAAAAAAAAAAAGAGGGGAAGGGGAGGGGAGAGAGAAAGAAAAAGAGAGAGGGAAGAAAGGGAGGAAGGAAAGAAGAGAGGGAGGAATGAAGAAGGGAAGGAAAGAGAGAGGAAAGGAGGAAGGAAGAGGGAAGGAAGAGAAAGAATACAAAGAGAGAAGATATGGGGAGGAAGAGGGAGAGGGAAGGAGTGAGTTTAGAAACATCAAGGAGATCAGTGTTGACAATTAGAATGCAATGGGAATACCTTGAACAAAAGTGGCCTAAAAAATAATTCTTTCCACCCCTGTCATTTTCCATATGAGAAAGCTAGGCCCAGAGAATTCAGTAATTTACCCATTTCAAACACTTACATGATGATAGAAGCAAGATTACAAGCCAAATTTTCCCAATTCCAGACCTGGCCCACTTTCAATTCAACTCTGTACACTCTGCCTTTAGGTGCAGGGAGGTATGTGTGACCTACCCAGCCTATTACAAAGGCCTTGACATTTAAAGGATTAAACATTTGGATGATGCCTTGGGAGTATTCCTTCAAAGACGGTTCTCTCAAAAGAGGTGGATCAAAGAAGACTGGTGGAAAGAGGGGTCTGTATCCGTTAGGGTGCTTTCAACTGCCAGCAATAGAGAATCTCACTCAAAGTGGCTTAAGCAATAAAGGGCATTTTGTTGAAAGTGCCACGGTATGGCGACCTTCAGAGGAGGCTTGTTCCCAGCAGCTAAATTAAATCACCAAAGATCCAAGTTTCTCTCCATCTTCTTGTTCTGCCTTTGGCAGCACCATCTTCCTCTTACAACTCACTCTCTCTGTGGCCCTAATGCAGGAACTCTCAGGCCTGGTCCCTTCCTTTCCCTTCCCTGCCTTGGACCTCAATTCCCTGATCTGTCAATTGATGGGGCTGGTCACTGAACGAGCTCAAACTGCCCTTGCATCTCTAACGGATTTTCTCAAAAGGTGGTCCATGGGCCATTTGTATTAGAACTGTTGCTTAGCCTGTTTGTTTAACCAACCATACAGTTCCTACACTCTAGCCCAACGCCGCTAAACCATAATCTCTGAGGAACACAGGGATCTGCGGTGTCAACAAGCTTGCCCAGAATATCCTTGTGCCCATTGAAGTTTGATAAATATTTGTTCCCAAGAGAACCTAGAACAGGGAGTAAACTATGACTGCTGAGCCAAATTCTGCCTGAGAGTTAAGAATGGTTTTTACATTTTTAAAGGGTTGCCTTTAAAACAAACAAACAAAAAAGGAAAAAAAAAAACCAAACTCATGCAAAGAAGAATATGAAACAGACCTTCCATGGCTCCCAAAGTCTGACATATTTACTACCTGGCTCATGACAGAAAAACTTTGCCAACCCCTGGCCTAGAATAATGAGGTCATTGGATGGTGGAGAGAAAGGCAAGGGGTGGATCTGGACAGTTTACAGGGCTGATGAGGCCAAGAATTCCTGGGAGCAGGAGTTTGCAATGTTCCATCAGCTCCATGGAGAATCAAGCAAGTCAAAAATAAAATGTGCTCAAGTTCTGGAATTCAGTTTAAGAAATATCTTTTCCAGGAGACCTCCTGGAGTCTTTAGTTGGGCCACCCAATGTCAAATATTGACCTAAGGGCCAGGGCGGGGGTACAGTAAAAGCTCAGGAAGGGATGATGTCAGTATGCAACCTCTTTGCTCTGACAGCCACCAGTCAGCGGTCTCCCATTACATGGGGAACATTTTGGCGTTAGCTTGTGTGACTCATTTCTATGCCTTACTTCCAATCACAGAGCAAACACTTATCAGCTAAGGATATGGTGCTCAAAGAGCCACCCCAAGTCAGGGAGGTAATTTCCCGGGGACTTGACCAGGAAAATATCCCAGTACTTCTCGGACAATGGGCAAGCGATGCTCTATGTTAGGAGCAATAGCAGACAAACCCATGGTTTGGGAGTCAGGCAGACCTAGGGTCAAGTCCTGCCCCTGAACTTACCTGCTCTATGATTTTAGACCTGCACTGTCTGAGATGGTAGCCAGTTTATTTAAATAGCCAGAATATTTAAATTCGTTAAAATTAAATAAAATGTAAAATTCAGTTCCTTGGTGACAGTAGTCACA